TTTATGGTGCTTCACTATGCCATCACAATAATACTATCGTATTTCGTTTTATAAATCCACTTACACCCGAAAATATTCTTAGAATTGTCAAAAGAACAAGATCCCATGTATGGTTAGTAATAAGTGCATTAAACTCCTCAGCCATAGCTTCCCTTCATTTTAAATTTTTATTTGCCTCAGAAAAACAAGATGGGTCAGTGCCATAACATCTATGTGTAAAGAAAACATAGATTTTGGTTTAAAAATCCCGGCCTTAGCACGCGTTTGCATAGGATGGACGTTAGCTAACGTAGTGGGCATGGACGGATTGACGGGGGAGCTGACTGAAGATGTCTCAGCAGAAGTGGTGGAAGATGAGGCTGACGCGGGAGGAGGGCTGGGTACCAGGATGTGGGTAGGAGAAGGAAACTGGTAGGGGCTGATGTGCTCAAAAGCGAGTGGTGTACTGGACGGTGAGGACGACGAACTGGACGCGGGAGTCGAGTTGGAGGGAGAGGGTGGGTGTTCGGGCGAACTCACCACCACCGGTGGTGTGGAAGTAGGTGCATGAAACCGAGTGGTAGGACCGGGTAGTGGCACTACATAAGAGTTTGAACTGGGAAAGGGAATATCGGAGGTAGCGAGGAGGACCGAGGATGGTATATCAGATGCAGAGGATTCCCTAACGGTCTTAAAAGGATAAATATTTTCGTTAAACCTAACATTATGACTGATGTAAACCCGCTTAGTAATAGGATCAAAACAACGATAGCCCTTATATCCATATGCATAGCCTAGAAAAGCACATTGCACTGAACGTGGAGGAACTATATTAGATGAGGTGGTAGAAAAATTGGGATAACACGTTTGTCAAAAACCCACATGAAATTGTAATCAGGAGCCTTATGAAAAAGTTTTTGAAAGGGAGAAAGGCGTACCATGTAATAGAGGAGATGGTAATCAATTAATGATGTATGCAGTTGTATAGAGGGCATCTATCACGCCCCGGACACGCTAACAACGGCCGTACAATCTAGATATGTACAATCTAGATAACAATCGATGTATCCATGAGCAAGTTTATTATTGTTAAGTAGAATGGTGGAAGCACGAACCAAGTCTCCTCTCCAAGATCACCCGAGCAATGGGCACAAGATGCAAGCACTAGCCTCAACCTGAAATGGTGGTGGGATGCCCCCGAAGGGGTCAGTACTTTCCTGAAACTATAAAGTACTGGTGTGGATGTTATTTAATACTTATATAACAAGTATTTCAAACACAAGACCCTCAAATAAAGTGATAGTATAATCTAGTCCATAACCCCAAGTTACCCCGTTTAAAAATATACTTACTTTATATGAAGTCAAGTAGTCGGCCCGTGAGCCCATGTTCATTTAGAAATCAACATCCCTATTCCCTGTGACTACTAGTCACGACAATTCAAAGAATTCAACCCTAATATATATCCCTCATTTCTAGAGCTCAACTCTACTACATCATCACGACAATTCACATCATTCGGATCTAATACTTCACCTTGCATTCAAGAGCTCGGCTCTATTACATTACCATGCAATTCATATCATTTGGATCTAACACTTCACCTTGCATTCTAGAGCTCGGGTCTATTACATCACCATGCAATTCATAGGACACAAGCCTATTATCTCACCATGCATTTCTAAAGCTCAGCTCTATTACATCACCATGCATCGTAGCCCAATTCCTAAGCAACTACTATGCCTAAAATTGTCATTTACAATAAACCACTTTGGGTCATCCTTAAGGAATGTCCATAGCTTGATCTTAGCTTCATACTATATCAATTTAGACACTTCAAGTATATTCAAGTGTATCACATACAATCCAAGCCTTAGGATCAATCTATTATCATTCACAAACAATCATTTACTAGTATCTCAATATTATTAAGATTATCCTTATCAAATCAAATATTCATATTTGTGAGTCTAAACATATTTAGAAATATGTGGCAGCAACATAAATGTCCAATTCAATATATAAATATTCATTTATATATCCACACAATTCATACATGAGTAGAAATGCCCATTTTAACATAGTAGTCCATTTATAACTCATTTAACTCCATCTTATCAGTATGGTCTCAAAAGATTTTCAAATTCACTCCTTATCAAATATATTCATATTTTATCAAATTTAAGTATCATAGTTCATGAAAATATGATTTAGACATTTAGGTAATCTCATGCTTAACCTACAAGTTGTAAGCAACTAAATGTCGATCCTCACCTCAAATGAGCTCTAAACTTTCCTTTCTCAATCCAATGGTCAAAGCTTCGGACAAGGAAATTTGGGAACTGATTTCTTTCTTAAAAATGGGTGCTTGGCAGTCTCCTCAAGATGCTAGCTCGACCCCTAACCAACGGAATGAAAACAGTCTCTAGAAATGGTGTTTTTCAGCTAGTTCGCTTCCTAACTTTTCAAGTTTTTTCTAGGTTAGTAGCTAACCTTTACATCCATAAATAACCCTCTCAAGAACATATTATACACTTGTAATAGTGTACAATAGTATGCTCAATAATTCATATGATTTAGATAATGAAAAGAAAGGTTTTGGATTCAAAGTCACTCTAGAGAAGAAAATGTGTTCTGCAAGGTAGCGTCTTCCTTCAACGATTTGAAAACCTTCCACAACTTCGTTCGTTGTAAACTGGACCTTCCCAGAATCCTCGTCTTGAGGGATTTCTTTATACACCTCACAAGTCAAATGTGGACAAGTGAAGCTCGATATATGGGGTGAAAAATCAACCCAACGCACTGTTACGAATTTTGCGGACAGTTTTCTTTTTTCTTGCTCTCTTTGATTTTTGTGTAGCTCTCTTCTTCTCTAAGCTTTGGGAGCTCGTATGGGAGGTCCTAACGGTGATCTTAGACCTCTATAAAGACTGGTTACTTTATGTATGGACGTCTCTAAAGTCCATGTCTTGTCATTTTAGTCTCAATCAGCCCCCCTATAACACTACAACAAAAAGTATCATTTGCGTCCAAAGTTTTTGCATCAACTCTGTCAACCCAAATACATAGGGATTCGCGTCAGAATGTGGACGCATAAAAAGTTAGACAAAAAAACATACGGGGTAAGTCTTCTTGTCGACGCTAATGTAAATGCTTTACTATTACCATCTGCCGGTTAATTGAATTTGGGAGAAAAAACAACAAACCCTACCTATCTCTTCAAGAGAGTTCGTGGTCCCTATGAGATACGGAGTACAAGAGAGGAGAGGAGAGGGCGAAGGGGATCTATCAGTCTCTAAGGGGTTTCAGAAGAGAGAAGAGGGCACCTATTAGCAAACGAGGATACTTCACTCTGTTCTGTGTTTCCAATATATTTACTTCGGGAACCAACAAAGTTACTCCCGATCAATAGTCTACTCCATCTGCTCGACCAGCTGAAAGACATCTCCTGCATGATAACGGTGATGGAGAAATGCTACTGATAAGACGCTCATCTACATCGAGACCTCGTCACGAGTGGTATCCGATAATGTATTTGGTAATTCTGATTCAATCTTTTCCTATTAGGCAATCTCCAACAGTTTACACCATTTTTTTCACTAAAATGGTGTAAACATCACATCATACAGTATTTTATCTTCAACAGTTTACACCATTTTCATCACCAAAAAGAAATATTCCCTTTTTACTCTTTTTACCAACTTTTTACCATTCTTCTATTTAAGTATCTAATTATCATATATTTATACATTAGCCCCTCATTTAATATTTTGACATTTCACACATTATTTCACACATACAAACTAAAATACACCATGTTAATATGTATTTTCACGCATTTCACTAATTAAAATACAATAATCAATATTTCACAAATACAAGCTAAAACCACATAAAATTATATATTACAATAATATTATAATAATTTGTACGTCATTACTAAAGTACTACTTAAACTTAAAGCAATACATTAAATAAAGATTTTTAGTTTAGTTATCGGAATTTGAGAATTGTTCCCACAAATGATCAATTGAAGCATTGTGGAGCTCAATATGAGCGTTCTTGTCGTGAACTTGATTACGTCGGTTAAGAAATTGAGTAAACCGCGCCGCCTCATCAACTACCACTTCAACATCTGGAACTGGTGTATCTCTCACATCTTAAACTGGTGCATGTATATCACATTCATTCTTTATTATCATATTATGCATAATAATACATGTACTCATTATGTCGTTTAAGACTTTTTTCTCCCAAAAACGTGAAGGTCCTGCATGTATATCACGTTCATTCTCTACCACTACTTACAATGTCAGACACAAGTTGATAGAGAATCATTACTAATCAATAACTCTTCAACCACTACTTACAATTTCAGCTCACAATTATCTTCAAAAATTCATTTGACTGCCTTCCCGGTTGATTTATTAGCTGAAATTTGGTATGTATAAACTATACTTAATGAAGAAGATGTTAAAAAAATTTCATCAAAACATTCCACCAGGAACCACCCCAGGGTGAGCAGCAGGCTGCTTCTGAGCAGCGGGCTGACCAGCAGCAGCTTGCTGCTCACTCTGGAGCGGTTCCCAATGGAATTTTTTGATGAATTTTTTTTAGAATCTTCTTTATTAAGTCTAGTTTTTTTAACCCGGTAGGCAAACCACTAAAATCAGTGGGGCAAATGCCGGGGAACATTTGCCGGATATTATAAACCAAAACACCAGAAGTACATGAAGAGAGGGGGACTAGGCCAAAACCTCTCCATAAAGGAAAAATCCTTTACACCCAGATGAAATAAATAAAAAAACATAAGGAAAAGAACCCGAGTCCAAGGAGATAATTCCTCTTAGCTCTCTGGTCATTGGATCCCCAGACCGCCATTTAAAAACGCCATCCAAACCCAATTTTGCAATAAAGCCTGCAGCCTTGTTTGCTTGGACCGGTATAAGCCGAACTCCCAAAATCCAAGGTTCTTGGGCCGCATATATAAGGCACCGCCCCGGGAGATCTTCTACGCACACTTCGACTTTCACCTTAGAGAAATGAAAGGCCTTCCCCCATTCCATAGCTTGTTGGAAAATCTCTTCTCCTCCATCTTCCTTCACCGACAAGCCACTCGGCAGAAATCCCTCCGCTGCCACTGCCGCCCCATCATGGTCTCGTAGCAGGAAGCCCGTGGCCGATTTACCACACTGCCTGAAGACCGACCAGCTCAATTTGTAGCTTCCTTTCGCCGGCTTGGACCACCTCCAAATCTGCGGCTTCTTCAATGAGAAATTTGCAGGTAAGAAGCCTACCTGCTTCAATCTTTCAAATCCTTTGAGTTTAACATTTGCATAACACCAGCTGAGCATGAATTTTCCTATTTGAAAAACTGTAAGATTTTTATCAGGAACCACCTCCTTCCATAAGACATCCCAGTACACTTTCCAGATATGCCAAACAATCACCCCTGGCAACACCACTATAAAGGTAACATCCATCATTTTACCTTTACTTGTAATCCACCACTTCATAAATTGAGTTCTGATTTGGGTTGCAAGTCTTCCGCAAATGGTCAGCATCTGTTCAAAAAAACCCAAATGGATCTTGCAAACTGGTAGCCAAGAAGCACATGGTCCTGCGAAGCACTCGCTGACTTGCATAGAGGGCAAATGGAAGGATAGGATGCAGAGAAGGCCGTTAACTGTTCCGGGAAGGGTAGCCCCTTATACCACAATTTCCATAAAAAAATTAATTTTGGTCAATTGTTTGGGGTGCCAAATGTTTGTATCAATTAAACTTCTCCCCCTCCCTGACCAAATAGCCCTGTAAGCATAATTAGAAGAAAAAACACCATTAGTTGTGTGCTTCCATTTGATAAAGGTAGTATTTCTATCAACCATTGGTTCAGCCTCATCATGAATCTGGCAGATTCTTCTCCACGTTGGAGAATCAAGAGGCTTAACCTCTCCCAAGACCCTACTACCATATTTACTCTGCATAAGGCCAGCCCACATTGACCCTCCAGTCTGATATTCCCACCAAAGCTTGAGTGCAGATATTTTTTGCCTATCTTTCAGGGATCTAATGCCCACCCCTCCTGCATCTGTGGGCCTGCAAAGTTTTTTGTAGGATATCCAATGATGCTTGGGCCTGTTGTCCTTATATCCCCAGAAACAATCTGCAATCGTCCTATTGATAATGGTCACCACAACTGCTGGAATACCATGTTAGGAAATTGATGTAACGTACCTCGAAAGTACAGCAGTGGAAGTTTAAAATTTTTCCAAACATATCTTCCTTGATTATGACAAAACAACGAATATAATAAAATAACATATCTGAGTGAATTAGAACGTACAGATCTTCCAGTCTAGCGGTGATAGGAAGTTCCTTATTCTCCGCTGGCACTTCCGCAAAGGAGCGCGCTCCTGCCCCCGACTTCCCAGCCGGAGCAGCCCATGCAGCCGCAGTTACCATGCACGCCGACCCTAGATCGCCAGAACCCTAGGGTTGATAGGAAGTCTAGTTTATGCATACCAAATTTCAGCTAATAATTCAATCGGGAAGGCAGTCAAATGAATTTTTGAAGATAACCGTGCAGTTAAACAACGTGGTACATTTCAGAAAATCATTTGACTATCTTCCTGGATGAACTTTTATCTGAAATTTGGTATGGGTAAACTAGACTTAATGAAGAAGATGCTAAAAAAATCATCAAAAAATTCCACCGGGAAACGCCCCAGGGTGAGCAGCAGGCTCAGCAGCAACCTGCTGCTGATCATCCCGCTGCTCACCCTGGGGCGGTTCCCGGTGGAATTTTTTGATGAAAATTTTTCAGGAACTTCTTCATTAAGTATAGTTTACGCATACCAAAGTTCAGCTAATAATTCAACCGGGAAGGCAATCAAATGAATTTTTGAAGATAACTGTGAGCTGAAATTGTAAGTGGTGGTTGAAGAGTTGTTGATTAGTAATGATTCTCTATCAACTTGTGTCTGACATTGTAAGTAGTGGTTTAGTAGTACGCTTATCTCAAAAGATAAGAATTCAATGGTTGTGAAGATAAGGAAATCCATCTAACGGGTAATGTAATGATTCCATATCAATTTGTGTCTCACATTGTAAGTAGTTGTTGATTAGTACGCTTATCTCAAAAGATAAGAATACAGTGGTTGTGAAGATAAGGAAATCCATCCAACGGATAATCTAAGGATTCCTTATCAACCTCTACATTATATAAATACGGATGCAATGAAGTATCACACTTCATCAAAACCTCTATCTCACAATCTATATTTTATCTTTTTTGCTTTACTCTCAAAATGACTTCAAGATCAACTAGTTACACCATAGCGGAAGACGCATTGTTGTGTCAAGTATATTTAGACATAACTCAAGACCCAATCATCGGCAGATATCAATCTGCAAATGATTTTTGGTCACGAGTTGAGGCTAAATACAATGAACACCGTGAACAAAATTACGAGCATCGTAATATACGTTCACTTCGTTCAAGAAACGGATATAATAAGTACTCAGGCACGGAGGCGAAATGGGTGTGTCAAACAAGTTGAGAATATGAATTCTAGTTGTTAGGTATTGGCCCAACTATTTCCGTAAGCCCATTTATTCTTTGGTTGTACCCGGCCCAGGGTTGGACTTACCGATTCTATTTTCTCCTTGTTCGCCCTGCGCATATCCTCCCTTGTTCTTCTTTCCTTGTTGAAGCCGCTGCATATCTTTGATAAGGTAAGTTACCTTACCTGAGTTTTTGACCTTGGCTTATAAATAATTCTCCTTTCTCCGTTTTGGGTAGAGCGCCGAAACCTAATCCCCCAAAATCAGTCCGAGCTTTTCTTTTGGGTTCACCGGAGATATTTGGCCGGAAATAGCCTGCTGGCTGACGCCCCTCCCCCTTTGTGATCATAGTGGTGTTATTCATCCTTGTGGATGAAATTAGAGACCTGAGCTGGAAGATTCAGAACTTACAGTGGTATCAGAGCCAGCCGCCGCCCGCCGCCGTCTCGCCGCCGTCGCGGGAGATCCGGGGAGTGTCGCCGGAGGTCCAGGAGTGCCACCAGTGGTCCCGGGAGTTCTGCCAGAAGCTTCCAGCCGTCCAAGTACTCTGCTGCCTCGGCCCAAACCTGCTGCCGCCAGCCACGGAGCTCTGCCGCCAGTCCAGTTCACTGCCGCCACGCTCTACAGCAGCCCACGCTGCCTACGGTAAGTCGGGTAACCCAACCTCGGGCCCCGCTCAGGTAAATTGGCGTTAACCACCCTTGGTGTACCGGAGTGCCACCGGATTTATTTTTTCCCCACTCCCCGCTGCTAACCTACGTGGTCTTGGATGCCGGCTGTGCCCGGCCCCAGGTACGTTTACTAATCCTTTGTGTGATTATTTATTCGTAGTTCATTCATTTTTAAGTTCAAGTTTAAATTGCAATTACTTGTTTGTTTAAATTGTGATTACTTGTTGGTTTGTGATTAATTCTTTCCGGTGAAGAATATTTTGTTTGGATACCTGTTGTCCAAAATTGTGATTATTTCTTCCGGTTTAAATTTAATCATGTGTTGGATTTTTTTTTTTTTGATTTTTCTGTTGATTGATTCGTGGATAAACTCTCCGGTTAAGAATATTTGTTTGGATACCTGTTGTCCGAAATTGGGAATATTTCTATCCGGATTAGTTTTAAATCCCGTTTCTTTGTTGGTTGATTTAATTCTAGCCTATTTGCGCTTGTACGAAAGAACAAGGAGATTGTACCCGAGCTTTGTGTTCATTGGTCTTCTCGGCTTGTTCGTGCTAGTTGCTTCGTACAATTGATAGCCCTATAGGTTATAATAAATCATTTATCTGTCGGTTGATTAAATAAAAAATTTTTATCTGTGCTTGTACGAAAGAACAAGGAGATTGTACCCGAGCCTTGTGTTCATTGATCTTCTCGGCTTGTTCGTGCTAGTTGCTTCGTACGGTACGAAAGAACAAGGAGATTGTACCCGAGCTTTGTGTTCATTGGTCTTCTCAGTTTCTTCGTGCTAGTTGCTTCGTACCGGTTGATAGCTTGATAAATTTTTTATTTACTCTCTTGCGTGTTGTGCTTGCTTTCCGGTTAATATGGCTGTCAATCAATATGGCATGCTTCCATTTAACGGAAAGACAGATTTTGATATCTGGAAACAGAAAATCAAATGCGTATTGATCCAACAGAAAGTCTATAGAGCTGTGACCGGTCTCTATTTAGACTCTGAGGATGCTGCCAAGCGCGTTGAAATGAATGAAACTGCTTGTTCCTCTATTTAGCTAAACCTTTCTGATTCAGTGCTCAGGAAGGTGGGTATTATAGATTCTGCTAAAGAGTTGTGGGACAAGTTAGATAAGTTGTATACCGATACTTCTTTGCCTGGTAAATTGTTTTTGCTTGAGAAGTTCTTTAGATTTAGGCTTGACCTGACTAAAGACATAGATGAGAACTTAGATGTGTTTAACAAGCTTATTCAGAACATTAAGCAAGCCGGTGATAAACACATAGATGACTACACACCCCTAGTGTTACTTAATGCAATCCCTGACTCTTACAATGATGTCAAATCTGCCATAAAGTATGGTAGAGACGATATCTCGTTAGATATAGTCGTTAATGGATTAAGGAGTAAGGAGTTAGACCTTAGACACTCGAGGGGTAGTAACAGTCAATCTAGGGACTCTGGTGAAGCGTTGCTTGTGAGGGGTAGGTCTAAGAGTATATCTAGAAACCATAAGAAGGGTAGCAACAATAAGAACCAGACCAATAACAATGACCCGGGGAAGAAGAGAGGTAAGTCTAAGAAGAGAGTGTGCTATAATTGTGGTAATTCTAGTCACTTCATTAAGGATTGTCCCCATCCTAAGAAGTCTGAACATGCTAATTTGGTAGATGATAATAACTTGCATGAAGAAGTTTTTTTGGTCTGTGATTTTGCAAATTCTGTGTTGAGTAGCATGACTGAAAATGAGTGGTTGATTGACTCTGGTTGTACTTATCATATGACACCTTTCAGATCTCTGTTTGCTTCTTATGATTCTTGCAATGATGGTTTTGTGTCTCTTGCTGATAATAAGAAATGCAAAATACATGGGGTGGGTGATGTATGCTTGAAGTTTGATAATGAGACTGTGTTTACTATGAAAAATGTGAGGCATGTCTCTGATTTGCGTCATAACTTGTTTTTTGTCGCTGCTTTTGAGGGTAGTGGGCTTGAGGGTAAATGGGGAAATGGGTGCATGAAAGTTTTGAAAAATTTCCTTGTTTTGTTTAAGGCAAAAAAGGTGAATAATTTGTATGTGTGCCATGCTCAGCCTTTCTGTGATTCTGCTCATGTTGTTAGTTCTGATAAAACTGTTTTGTGGCATAATAGATTAGGACACATGAGTAATAAGGGTTTAGAGATTTTGCATAAATCTGGTTGTTTTGGTAAGGATTCTGTGTCCTCCATCCCTTTCTGTGAATCTTGTGTGTTAGGCAAGCAGCATAAGGTTACATTCCCCTCTTCCCCTTATCCTAATCCCACTAAGTGCACCTCTGTGTTAGAGTATGTTCATGCAGATGTGTGGGGTCCTGCTAGTGTCTCTACCCACGGGGGTAAGAGATATTTTCTGTCCATTATCGATGATTTTTCTAGGAAGGTGCGGGTCCGTCTTCTTGAGCATAAGTCCGATGTCTTTGTGAAATTTAGGGAGTGGAAAACCCTTGTAGAAAATCAAAACGGTAAGATGGTCAAAACCCTTAGGACCGATAATGGATTAGAGTTTTGCAATAAGGATATGGACCAACTCTGTGTTGATTGTGGGATTAGAAGGCACAAAACTGTGCCCTATACTCCCCAACAAAATGGGATAGCCGAGAGAATGAATAGGACTGTTCTAGATAAGGTTAGGAGTATGCTTGCCACCTCCGGTTTGTCTAAAAAGTTTTGGGGTGAAGCAGTCAATACTGCTCTCTACTTGATTAACCGGTCTCCTTCTGTTCCCTTGGGTGGGAAATGCCCTGAATCTGTTTTTTCAAACAAGCCCCTTGATTTGTCTAATCTTAGAGTGTTTGGGTGTGCTGCGTATGTGCACCAACAAGGTGACAAATTGGATCCTAGGTCTAAGAAAGGAGTCTTCTTAGGTTATCCTAAGGGTGTGAAGGGGTACAGGGTTTGGGATAGGAACCAGGTAGGTTTCAAGGTTGTGGTAAGTAGAAACGTTGTTTTCAATGAATCCGAGTTCCCTTGTCTGGTTAAGTCAGTTCCTGATTCTGAGTCGAGCCCTAGTAGTACACCTGTTGAGGTGGAGTCCATACCATATGCTGCTAGTCCTTTGTTTGCTAATCATGATTCTTCTAATTTGCATGATTCTTCTGAATTGCATGATTCTTCTGAGCATGATAATACCACCACTTCGAGTGAGGTGGAGCATTCTCATGTGCATTCAAATGACAATGAATCGCATGATGAGAGTGCTGATTCTAGTGATATTGATTTGCATGATTACCAACTTGTTAGAGATAGAAGTATGAGAGAAATTAGGAGAACTGCTGATAGCATGCCTGATTTTGCTTTCCATGCGTGTGATACTTCTATGTTTGCTTTCTCTGTGTTTGAGACCCTTGAGCTTAACGAACCTAAAACCTATAGGGAGACCCTTAAGTCTAATGAGTCCGCTAAATGGCTTTGCGCCATGGAGAGTGAGATGGAGTCACTTAGAGCGAATAAGACTTGGACGTTAGTTCCTAGACCGCCCAATAGTTCCGTTGTTGAGTGTAAGTGGCTATTTAAGGTTAAGGAAGAGCCTAACGACATTAGATATAAGACTAGGTTAGTAGCTAAGGGTTTTAATCAAAAGGAATGTGTTGATTATGCTGAAATCATTGCTCTTGTTGTTAAATTCACTACGATTAGAATGATGCTTGCTCTTGTTGCTCATAATGATTGGGAAATGAAGCAAATGGACGTCACCACTGCTTTCTTGCATGGTGATTTAGACAAGAAAATCTATATGACCCAGCCTGAGGGCTTTGTGGATCCCATGAAGAGTAATCATGTGTGTTTGCTTAGGAAGGCCTTGTACGGCCTGAAGCAGTCCCCGAGGCAGTGGAATATCAAATTTGACCAGTGCATGTCATCTTTGAAATTTCACAAGTCCGAGTGCGACCATTGCCTATACTTTAAAAATACTTCTTTTGTGCCTGTATTTTTATTGCTTTATGTGGATGACATGTTGATTGTTAGTCCTTCGGGTGACGCCATTAAAGGTGTGCAAAAGCGTCTCAGTGAGAACTTTGCAATGAAAGACCTAGGTGATGCCAAGAGGATCCTAGGCATTAACATTGTTGGGGATAGGAGTAAGCGTGTGTTAGTACTCAATCAGATTTCATACATTGAAAAGATTTTGAGTAAATATAACATGCATTCTGCTACTACCGTCTCTATCCCTATGGCGTCCCACTTTGTGTTAAGTAAGGATCAGTCTCCCAAGACTGCTCCTGAAATTGCTAAAATGAAATCTGTGCCTTATTCCGATGCTATTGGGTCCGTGATGTACCTCATGGTGAGTACTAGACCCGACATTGCCTATGCTGTTAGTTGTTTGAGTAGGTATATGTCTAATCCTGGTTTACCTCATTGGAATGCTCTTATGTGGTTGCTTAGGTACTTGAAATCTACTGTTAATCATGTGTTGGTTTTCACTAGGTGTTCTAAGGGTGTTAAGTTGAGTGGGTATGTGGACTCGAATTTTGCTAACGATAGAGACAATAGGAAATCCACTACCTCTTATGTGTTTACCCTTTGCGGATCTTGCATTAGTTGGAAGTCTCAACTTCAACCCATAGTTGCCCTTTCCACTACTGAGTCCGAGTATGTGGCCACTACCGAAGCATTTAAGGAAGCCATTTGGCTTAAGCGTCTCCTAACGGAGATTGGTAGTCTTAATCAGGACATCTGTGTGTTTTCTGATAGTCAATCTGCTATTCAACTGTCCAAAAATCCTGTTTTTCATGATAGAACTAAGCATATTGATGTTAGATTTCATTTTATACGTGATATTGTTAGTGCAGGTGATATCAAGTTGATTAAAATTCCGTCTGAATTTAACCCTGCTGACATGGGGACTAAATGTCTCTCTGTCGAAAAGTTGTTGTCGTGCAAACGCATGTTAAACATTGATTGTGGATAAGTTGCCTGGTGATCTTACCCCTTTTGCCTGAATGTGTCTTTGTGATCATTCGGGCAATCCAGCGATGATGAGTCTCATGTTTGTGTTAGAGTTTTTACTCTAAGCCACTATGGTCCAATAAGGTGGAGAATGTGTTAGGTATTGGCCCAACTATTTCCGTAAGCCCGTTTATTCTTTGGTTGTACCCGGCCCAGGGTTGGACTTACCGATTCTATTTTCTCCTTGTTCGCCCTGCGCATATCCTCCCTTGTTCTTCTTTCCTTGTTGAAGCCGCTGCATATCTTTGATAAGGTAAGTTACCTTACTTGAGTTTTTGACCTTGGCTTATAAATAATTCTCCTTTCTCCGTTTTGGGTAGAGCGCCGAAACCTAATCCCCCAAAATCAGTCCGAGCTTTTCTTTTGGGTTCACCGGAGATATTTGGCCGGAAATAGCCTGCTGGCTGACGCCCCTCTCCCCCTTTGTGATCATAGTGGTGTTATTCATCCTTTGTGGATGAAATTAGAGACCTGAGCTGGAAGATTCAGAACTTACACTAGTGGTGCTTCTAAAAAAGATATTGCAAGTATAATATAATTTTAATTTTCAATAAGTTGTTTACTTTTATGTAATACAAATTTTATTTTAATGATTTGCAGCTCGATCGTGCTAAAGTTTTATTTATGCAAAATAGAAAATTTTCTAAAGGTATTAAGTTTGACCATGTCTCGGATATGATTAAAAAATTTGAAAAATTTAAAGATGATGTGTCAACTGCAAGACATGCTTCTCCACAAAAAAGACAAGTTGATTACGACTCTTCCCAATCAGACTCCCATCCACCATCTCCATTATCATCGTCACCTGGATTGTCATCTTCCTTCAATAAAGAAGTTGATACTGATTCTGGATCAGATTTTTCAAAACGACCAATAGGGGTCAAAAAAGTTAAATTGAAAAAGAAAAACGATGAAGACACTATTGTTTTGCTTAAGTCAGTTAAGAGCGACAATGAGCAACTTATAGAGATGTTGAAACAATCATCGTTAGATAGACAAGAACAATTGCAACTCCAATGATAAAATATGGCATACAAAGAATAAAGGAGAGAAGATAAAATTATGTTCATGGATTTGAATTCTATTGTCAATCCTCAAACGCGAGCATATATAATTGTATAAAGATCGAGAATTTTTCAAAAAAAATCTCAAGGAGGATCATCTGCTGGATTTGGGAATTTATTTGATGGTCTTGGAGGATCTAGAAGTGGGTTGAATGATTACTAAATTATAAATTAAGTGTAATTTTAATTAGTTATTTTCTTAAATATCATTTGTATTCTGTTATTATGTTGTTTCGATTTGAATTTTTATTTATAATATTGTGTGAATTTATTTATTATACTTCCTCGTTTATTATATATTTTTTTGAGTTTAATTTATAATACATTAATGAAACAAATAGAGTCAAAGTAGAATACATGAATAGTGTCAAAAGTCGAATGTTGCGTTTAAAAGAAAATGGAGGTAGTATGTTTTTTTTATTTTCTACCAAATTAATAATTTAAATTTCTTGTTCTTGTTCTAAAAATGGGTCAAAATTATAATAATCAAAACCTTGGGTCACTTTTGAAATAAAAAAAAGAAAAAGAAAAGAAGATGGCGCATGTTTTGGCGTACGCCATATAAGTAAAGCCAAACCCTCCCCCAAAATGTTGAAATGGTTAAAGGGATGGTGTAGTTATTGGAGCAAAAAAATGATAAAACTGTCATTTTGATGTAAGATTTGGTGATTGTTGGAAGGAAAATGCTTAGTGTACATTAGTTGTACACAAACTGTACACAAAATCCCCTAGTTGCCTGTGTACACAGGTAATACATTTAGAAAATGGCAGAATTTGATACCCAATTGTTTGTGTACACAAGCAATGTACACATTTTGTGTATTGTACACCAAGCATCAGGGGCGGAGCCAAGGGAGCTCAGGGTGGTCAACCGACCCCGCTGAAAGTTTGAGAGTGTAGAGCTCTGAAATATCTTCGGATTGATATATTATGGCCCCAGTAACTCATTACGAGTAAGAAGTTATGACTTCTGGAAAATCAGCACTCTCTAAACATAAAATCAGCACTATCTAAACATAAAATCAGCACAATTTGATGTATACTATCGATTATTTTCCCAAATTTAAAAAATAGTTATAATTCACTAAATACCTACGTGACACGATTCTGAAACAGAGCAAAGAAAATCTATCGTTTTGCTACGAGTGCCTATTTATCTAAACTGCATATGAAATATTCAATTCGGACATTGTTTAAAAACAATCCACCATTTTCATTTTGTACATAGGTTGAGTTTCGACCCCCGAGCCATTTTTCTGGCTTCGACACTGCCAAGCATGGCCCTTGTTGGAATGATATTTCTTATTCGATGATTTCAGGATTTTGTTTTATTCATGTTTGATACGTTCCTAATTTATTTGTTTTCACTTCCAATTCCTACACATTCATCACTTCTTCCTATCCTATTTAAATTCTGGAATTTATAGCTTTGTTTCTTGTTTTGTACTTCCATCATTTTATACGAAGAACTTGATAGTAACAGAGTATGCTAAAGAAGAGTAAAATGAAAATTTGGCATTCTATATGCTATAAGCAATAGTGTAATTCTTCTTGTTGCCTATACACAAGAGTTAAATGCTACAAGAGTTGATAACATATTATGCCTACGAGATGGATAGGGCTGGCAGTTTTGACACCTACTTTCTTCTGCATGATAAACCACTTGATGATTGTCCAGCTTTTTATTCACCCGTCCCTTTCATTTTTTTAGCAAGCACTACTTACTCATTGTTTGGTTCAAGAGGGGAGAAGGAATGTAGAAGAAGAGTTGAAATGGAGGTATGTTTGGGAATTTGGATAGGAGAAAGGGAATTTCGGAAAGGAAAGGAAGCATCTGGATGTTTTTTAAACAAGTTCAAACTCTTTTTATTTATTTATTTATTTACTTTGTATCATATTAAGGTTGAGAAATTGAAACATAAAAAGTATAGGCTAATTTTTCAGAAGTTTAAACTTTTAATCAATTGTTTTGTTATATTCTTTTCCTATCATTTTTTAATTTCAAAACTTTCAAACATAACCTAATTCCCCCTCAGCCAGGCACACAACACTCCTCTACTTCCCTTGTCTTCCCTCCAAAGTCCTCCAACCAAATAAGAGCAAGGTTTATGGAAGTAAATTATTATCTCCAAGCATAGTTATGACTATGGAGCACAGTTTTCTTGATGCTCTGTATTAAGTTATGGCTTCTGTAAAAGAGAGTAAGTGAGAATTTTAGCTTGATCTCGTGGTGTTCTAATAATTTGCACTATCATTATTCAGGTATGACAGAGAAGGGATGATCATATGCAGTACTTATCTCAAAGTGCTGCAAAATTTTAGTGAGCATGCTTCTTAAAATAGTTTGTTTTAGGCAATGCCACTTGAGTGGGTCTTGATCACATTAACTTTTACCATTATGTAGACATTCTAATCTAGCCTTTTGGGTCTTTTAATATTTTTATAATCATTGTCAGCATTTTTTATACTTCTTATTCATCCTTTGACATGAATATTAATATCAATTACTCTGAATTGTTCATTGCAGGATGTGCTTAAACTTTGGAGATGAGGATTTGATGGTTCAAAACATTCTAGGGCACATTAAACTGAGTGAGCACGAATATATGCCTTTTGGGATATGGAATTATGCCTAACCTCATTTTAGGTTTGTTGCTTATGTGGCTAAATTTTTGAACATCTAGGTCTAACTCACCAACTTAAAACATTGATCATCAATGCTTTTAGGTTATGCAACATCTTTTCACTAAAGAGAATCTAGTGTTAATTGGTTATAGTGATATACTAATCATATTGTATCAGTTGCTTATTAGTTTATTTGCACAGTAAGTAACCCTTGAATTTTAATTGTTATTATTTGAATTTGTGCTCTCTATGGGGTTCTTAAAATGACCATTTTAGACTTTTTTCTTCTTCAAATTTTTAGTTGGTATGTTGATTTCCTAAACATCATATAACCCTTTTCCTAAAATCAGTTATAGTAAAGTAGTGACACTTAGGTGATACACTTTTGTTTCAGATTTGTTGTTATTACTAAGTTATGATAAAGTAGTGATACATTTTAAAGTTGGCATTTTTTGTTTTATTTGAGAGTTTCAGGAAAAATGCTAAGAGTTCACAACAAAAATTGATGATATGAATAACTCTATGGAGGAATTATATACACGCGGGGCATTCAAGATTATTGGATACGATATGTTTTTATATAAGAGCCTATGTAGTTGGTCTTTCTATATTGTTTGTGTGAAGACCAATTAGCAATAAGTAGCTTCTATATTAAGTGATGTACATGTGATGTACAATTGTACTATTATCAATTTTCATTTTCCAGATATATTTTAATATGTAGGTATTCATTTGTGATATTTTGCTCTTTCAAAATATTAATAATTATTCTAGTTAATGTTTGCTCTAGAAATACTATTATATTGTTGTTTTATTTTTTTAGAAAAATAGCACTTTTAGCGTCAACATGTTGACGCAAATGGTGTTTTTTATTTTTTCGCATCCATGACTATTTTGTGTTGACACTGTTGGCGCCAAAGATAATACATTATTTGCATTGTCAAAAGTCGACGCGAATAATCTTTTTGTGTCACGGTATTTTTGTCAACTCATTTGCGTCCACTTGTTGACGCAAATAAAGCATTTGCGTCGACAATTGACTTTTTGCGTCGACAAAAAACAGTTTTTATTTACACCTAATTTTGTCGCCCCAACTAGTCTTCACACCTATTTTTCGTTGTCTTGCAAGTGTAAAGGAAGTGTGGGACGCACCTCCTTTGGTCCCAATTAATTATGGAGTAAAATATCTAACAATACTTTCAAAGATAGAAGAATTAGATCCTATTGTTTTGTACTCTTGTCATGAGATGATTCTTTGTATTTATTTGAATTTCTTTATATTGTATTCGGCTCTTATATCATCTACGATGGCCCAATAAGGTATTTGGAAGCCCACTCTCAAAATACGGGTCCAAACGATAGTTTAATAAAACATGCATTACATAAAACATTAATCATTTTACACATGGTTGGTACCCAGAAATTTAATACATCAACTTGAATTTTAAATCGTGATTTCAAGTACGTTTGGATGTGGTGTCACAACATCTACCCAGAAGTGACTCGGAAACGAAGCTTCAAGAAGCATAGTGCGAGTTAACTTTACTAGATGATGATGTTTTCGCTCAGCAACACCATTTTGATGAGGTGTGTCAGGACAAGATTTTTGAAAATAGATTCCATGAGAATTAAAAAATTGCTGCATATCACGATTAAAAAATTCACCCCTCCATCACTTTGAATTTTTTTTATTTTTCTAATTAAAAAGATTTACAACTAAGAGCTTGAAATTTTTAAAGTGCCGAAAAACTTCACTCTTGCGGCACACCGCACATGGGATGAATCCAAGTAAAGTGAAAATAATCATCAATAAATTACACATAGTATTAAATCCCAAGTTTGAAGAAAGAGAGGATTGTCACACATCAGAATAAATAATTTGTAAAGGAAAAATACAATTATGACTAACAACAGAAAAGGGCAAACATTGTGATTTTCCTAGACGACAAGCAACACAGTCATGAACAAAGCTAGAGCTATTACATCAAAAAAAATTGTTTCTAAGAAAATGCAAAATTTTGTCACCTCAGTGACCTAGTCTACGATGCCACACAGGACCAGATGCTGATAGGGATGCTAAGGCTAGTGGAGAGGAAGACGGCAGACTGGTAGGATAGACTGAATTTTTATCTAAAATTACAACAAAGTTGTTATCAGCACATATTTTGAATAAAAATTGAATTAAATTTTGATTGAGGCACATGATAAACAGATTTTAAAATTAGAGAACAGTCAGACGAGGGTAGAGACACATAACCAACATTACAAATAGGTTATTGTTTACCATTTACAACAATAATAGAAGTAGAGCCCGAACAAACAGATTTATTTAGCAAAATACCTTCAGATGTCGTCATGTAAGCAAAAGCCCTCGAGTCGGGATACCACAAAGCTGAATTAGTGTCTCCTGGAGTACTCATTAGTGCTGATGCAGAAGGCTGTGAAAAATGAGAGAGACATGCAAATGTCGAGTGACCTGTAGATAAACAAATCTGACAAACAATAGGAGGGGATTGATCCCAGAATACCCCCATATGATGGAAAGCATGCAGATCCACTGTTAGTAGCACAAACGGATAAGGCATGAATATTCAAATGTGACACATCAGAATTACTAATAACAGCACTTGTAGTGGGATTAAACTGAAGTTGCGCACCCCCTGCATGAGTGTCGTATCCTGTCGTCGAAGGAGCTCCGCCACGTGAAGGTCCAGCCACCACTGCGTGGCTGAAAATAGGCCGGTTGGTCTTGTTGTTGCTGATGCCTTCCGCGACCCCCACGGGCACCTCTACCCCGGCCACCTCGGCCACGAGGAACAAATGTTGGAGGACATGGCGGTCCAGGCTGCTACTGGATCTATGTCGTGAACGCCTCATGAGGAGCGGAGGTCTCTAGTTGGTGAAAGTAGTGATTCTGCTACTCTTGCTCAATGAGATGGGTCTGAAGTGTCTAAAACGGGAAATTTTGGTGAAATAAAGAAAGAGTGGTAATCATGGACTCATAATCCTTCCTCAATCCCATAATAGTAGATTTTAACATATCAAGCTGAGAGACATGGCAATTAATACAAGCAAGTGCATCCACCAAAATTTTAATTCCCCGTATATATCTATCCATAGACTGATCAGGCTTTTTCCTTGTAGTAGACAACATGTGTTTTAATTCCATAGATCTGGCTAAACTGGTAGACATAAATCTAGACTCCAATCATTCCCAAATTCCATAAGAATGTTTCAGATCATGAACATGAATAAGAACATCGCGTGATAAAGTTACAAATAACCATGAACGAATAGTTTGATCAATACTCAACCACGACGAATATTCGGGATTAGGGATTTGACGATTATAGAGATCTATGGAATATACAGAGGGTACCTGAATTGAACCATCAACCATACCCAGAAGACCTTGAGAGACAAGAAAGGACCCAAACTGGGTGCGCCATGTGATATAATCTTCAACAGCCAGCAACTTGGTAGTCACAATGTTGGTGACGTTGGTGGCTGTAACACCCCGGGGCCCCACACGGACCCGAGGTAGTTACTCTAGACCTCTAGTACTGTCCCCACAAACCACCACGAGCCTTTACCGCGCACTTTGTCCTCACTCATGCGCGCCCTGAGAAACTTCCCATGGGGTCACCCATCCCAAGACTACTCCCGTGCAAGCACGCTTAACTTTGGAGTTCTTGGGTTATGAGCTCCCTTAAAAGGAGATGCACCTCTGTTGGTATGAGTAGTACTATTAATCCTCTTAAATTAATCTCGGGTATTACAATCACCCCCACTTAGGATCGCAACGTCCTCGTTGCGCCCTTAAACCAATCTCAATAAAACCCCAGAATCTTGCCCCGCTAAGTGCCCGCCCGATATCTAACGAGTCAGCACACTGTCGCAGGGTTGCTCTGATACCACCTGTAACACCCCGGGGCCCCACACGGACCCGAGGTAGTTACTCTAGACCTCTAGTACTGTCCCCACAAACCACCACGAGCCTTTACCGCGCACTTTGTCCTCACTCATGCGCGCCCTGAGAAACTTCCCAGGGGGTCACCCATCCCAAGACTACTCCCGTGCAAGCACGCTTAACTTTGGAGTTCTTGGGTTATGAGCTTCCTTAAAAGGAGATGCACCTCTGTTGGTATGAGTAGTACTATTAATCCTCTTAAATTAATCTCGGGTATTACAATCACCCCCACTTAGGATCGCAACGTCCTCGTTGCGCCCTTAAACCAATCTCAATAAAACCCCAGAATCTTGCCCCGCTAAGTGCCCGCCTGATATCTAACGAGTCAGCACACTGTCGCAGGGTTGCTCTGATACCACCTGTAACACCTCGGGGCCCCACACGGACCCGAGGTAGTTACTCTAGACCTCTAGTACTGTCCCCACAAACCACCACGAGCCTTTACCGCGCACTTTGTCCTCACTCATGCGCGCCCTGAGAAACTTCCCAGGGGGTCACCCATCCCAAGACTACTCTCGTGCAAGCACGCTTAACTTTGGAGTTCTTGGGTGATGAGCTCCCTTAAAAGGAGATGCACCTCTGTTGGTATGAGTAGTACTATTAATCCTCTTAAATTAATCTCGGGTATTACAGTGGCGATGTGAGATAAAGATTGAGTCAGTTCTGCCATAGGAGATGCTGGCAGAGGAGTCGGTCCAGGCCGTGTAGCTGTAAAGGAAGAGGAGATGCCCGACGAACCAACGAACATGGGACTAGAGAATGATGCAGTGGACAAGGGCGGAGGTTCCAGGGTCAGTGACTGGGGATGGATTCGGCCATGGAAACACCGGCGGCAAATTTTGAAAGAGAGAATAGTTTGCAATGAACTACTTATCAGTGAAGCAAAGGTTGAAGACGAAATTGATGCAGAGCCCGACATAAGGACAAACGGCTGCAAACCCGAGGATGACGGGGCGCTGGTTGAAGCCAATGTGGTGTTGACGTCGGTGGTTGTGCTTGCCAAGACGGAGGAGTCCGTCGAGATAGAGACGGAGGCGACTGCACTTGACATGGCGATGCTGTGTAGCGGCGATCCCAAGGGGAGAGAAAATGTGTGGAAAAAAATTAGGTTTTTTACCGTAGCTCGTGATACCATGTGAGAGATTGGAACATGTTGCTCTCTAAGGAGCTCTAGCAGATATATTTATAATAGGAGTGTATTGTTTAAAATACATAAATAACCCTAATCTATTAGTTAAAACATCTATGAGTGACAAACATTTTGCCCAAATTATACTCCCTCCGTTTCTGAAACAAGTTCCACATTTGACTTCACACATATTAAGAAAATAAATTTGACTTTACTGTGGAGTGCACTGTTTGGCACTGTTTGAACACTGTTTGACACTGTTTTGATGTAGATAATTTGCCAAATAAGGAAATGTTTGAAAGTGGAACTTAATTTTGAATCTGCCCGAAACGGAGGGAGAACATGAAAACATTTATACATCAAACTGTATAATTAAGATAGTAAAGTTTATCTATCCAATGATATAATGCACTGAAAATAAACAAATCAACACAAATTAACTATGCAGATCTCAGGACATTATATATAAAATTACCTTAAAAATAGAAGTGTTGGGTTAGTCGCCGATGCAACAGTCAGCCCGATGGTAACGGATGAGCGGGCGCTAGTCAAGTCTCGAAAATGTGGTGGAACTTTTTATCAGCCCGCACTTGGGACAATCATGGGACGATGGCGACATAGCTTCTGGGCAAGGTTGGAGTCTGGAGGACGACGGTGATGGAGCTTCCGCCCCTTATTTAGCCATGACATCAGAGAAAGGCACCAAGTGACTCCATCATCCCAGGCAACCGATGACATCAAAGAAAGGCGTCAAGTGACTACATTATCCCGACCGGCGGATCCGGTGTGGGCTCCCCGGTCGAGCTCCTCAGTTGGGTGAGCCGCAATTGGGCTTGCGTGCTAGTTGGGCCACCATTGGGTATTTGGGCCTGGACCCTATACCCCAACTATTTTCATAAAACTTCTTTATTTTATTAATAAAAAAAAAATTCTAAATTACTTTTTGATAATTTAACATATTAAGCCACTACTATCTTCGACCACAAATACTTCAATTTCAATAAATTGAATTCAATCCGCCAATATTAATCAAACCTTGTCCTTAAGGATTAGGGTAGAGGTCAATCCCCTTAATTTCCATATGAACACCCCTCATACAACTTGACCAAAGAAGAAAAAAGGTGTTTGTACACACTTTTGTACACACCTATGTGTGTGAAAGCTTTTTTTTTTGTCTGTGAACATCGATTCGCTGACAATGTTTTGCATAAACAAAATATTGTTTGTGAACCGGATTCACAGACAAAAAAAAATTCACAAACATGATGTGTATAAGGTGTGTAAAAGGGTGTGTATATCAAATCTCCACCATCAATGTGACAATCTTTGATACTCTTTTCTTAGTAAATGTGAAGAATCTCAAGAATCAATGTGTTGCAGACGGGACAGCAACCTCGGTTCAACCGCAACTCAGTCGAACACACCCTGCAAAAAGTGTGTCCACACGGTATGAAAGCTGCGCCCTTCGTCCTTCCCATGCACACGCAGCACATTGAATCGCTTCCCACCTGCATCTCCCCTGCATCGCCGCCGTCCGTTTCCTCCAACAACCGCATCAACGACATTCTGGTGGCCGGCCGTTTAATTGCATCGCCACCGTTATCCGCCGCGCTGTTGCTGGGCCCCACTTGCCCGCCATCGACGATCGCCCTGTACTGCCGCTCAGCCTCCAACGCCGCAGCAAGATTCGTTCCTGCTCCCGTCGGAGTCTCCGCCGTGCACGCCGGCTCCGCTTCGTTCTCCGGCAGGTTTTGCATACCCGTCTCGGCAATCTCCGCTCGCCGGACTCCCTCGCCGCCGCCTCTTCCGTCGTCCTCTATGAGGCTGACAGCGGCCGGAGCGAGACCCCAGGAGGCGCCACAACAGCTGACCCCTTTCAGCCCTAACCACCGCCGCATTAGACTCTTTCGTCTCCTCGGAAGCCGATCGCCGGCGTCCATATCTCTCCTCCCCTGCAAATCGAGACATAAGATTTCAGCCATTTCTGAAAGCGCGATATAAATTGGTATATATACATACACAAATTAAAAAGGCATAAATTGAAAGGGACTGCCAAGAACAACCCACCAACGCCGCCGCCGCTAAAAATTGAAATACTTCACAGGGAAAGAAAGCGACTTCAGTTCTTGAAAACAATCAAATTTCACTAAATTTGGTAACGGGTCTGTTGCCTTTTAGCAGAACTAAAAACTGTGATGGTTTTATTTAGACAGAAAAACACATAAACGGAAGAATTAATTTGATTGAAAATGGATATTATCTGGGCATGCCTTAATTTGATTAAAACACATTAACAAGCGAACAAAATAGAAGGAGAGGAGAAGAATTAAAGGGACCGGGTCGCGGTGGGCACATCCCTAGCCGGAAGCCCGGAAGTTTATTTTTTATTCGTGGTACAACTGAGATGGGGCCGTTAGTTTATTTATAATAAAGTGGCTGGCTTCCATTTCATGATTGTGTGCTGATTATTGTGATTGATTAATACCAACATCAGCTCAATTATTCCGGTGCATTTTATGAAATTTTGATGGAAGTCATAAGTTGAATGATTATGTTGATTTATTCAAAAATTGTATTTAAAAGATATTCATTAATAAAATAAAGAAATAATTATATGTAAAAACAGCTAAAATGATCATCGATAGTAACTTCACTCAATACAGTCACACAACTAACTTCAACCTTACTAATTCTTACGTAGTATTATTACTCAATTAAGCTTGAATTGTGTAATAGTCGATTTATCCCTTGAAATTATGACAACTTTCTTTTTTTGGTTGGTCCACTAATTTTGTCACTTTTCTTTCTAAGTAAAGATTTTTTGTTTCAGTTAATTATCTCTATTCTGAACAAATTTAAACCACATAAATTTTACTTTATTAATCCATGTGCTGGTCAAAGTTGGCAAAATTCTAAAGAACGGTGGGAGTAATAAGAAAAAGTAAGGTTGAAGTTATTTTTCTGGCTGTATTGACTGATGTTACAATAGAGCACCATTTTAGCTATTTTTTCATATAATTTTTTATTTATTAATAAATATATTTTAAATATAATTTTTTTCATAAATCAACCAAATCGGCCAATCTAGTCACTTCAGCTAGAACTTCATAAATTTAAGCAGAATTTGCTGATTCAATCGATTTTGGCATTACCAAACGGGCTCTGAATATCAATGAAAAGATTAAAGAGATGTTTTTATTTCGAAAAAACTTATATTAATAATAAGTAGAATCAAATAATGTCTGAAAATTTTCAAATAATGCAACTTAATATTTGTTATACAATCAAATTCTGAAAGAGTAATTCTTGTTATGATGGTCCCTAGTGAGCTAATAGTCTAGAGGGGGTGAATAGACCTTTAAAACCTTTTGATTTACTAAGTCTATCCCTCTTTAGGAGTTTGATTCTAAACAGTTTATTTACACATTTTGTTAAGAGAATGACTTTCTATTTAGTAATTTGACCAAGTTTTGTTTCAATGATCTCTCTGTGAAGTTGGACTGATAAGCGTTCTTACAGTATTTATGGAAAGATAGAGGGAGCTGCAATTCTCACAAAAGATACAGAGTTAACTGGACGATAACTTAGCAGTGCGTTGAGTGGCAGGCTGCTGCTAGCGTAAAGGTTAGGTAGCTGCTAAGTAAAGAACTTGAACTCTTTGTTATTTGAAATAGTGAACTTCAGAAAGATATAAATGGAGTTCAAAAGGATGTAAGAAACTTAGTATGAATTAGCTTTACCACATTTTTGACAAATTTGTATTCACCTTAACTCGGTATACAATCTAAGTTTGTGTTAATGCGGTTTAGATGTTTTTGAGATAGCTGTTTGTTGAAAAATAAGATTTGTAGGATGAGAGAATATGAGTGTGTGTTTGGGTGAAGTTAGAAAGTAAAAGACACAGTGAGTTATCCTGGTTGTAAGGTGGTGTAATCCTCTTACATCCAGTCTCACCCTCTTTCAGATGGATTTCCATTAAGTTATTCAGCTCAATACACTTAGTGATGAGTCTAGCCTTGATCACATGTCTAGATTGACAGGTTTTCACAAGGAGTACAACATCAGTCCAAGTTACTCTTTCCTTAGGTGTTTCACTAATGAACCTAACTGATTAAGAAGTTACTCAGTCACATACTACCCATACTTTGGATACCCTCCAATATTTACAGTTTGTCGATTACCAAAGTGATTCTAACCTCCCAACTAAGATTAAGCTCTAAAAATATGTCTTTGAATTAACTAATCTAAGAGCTTAATAAGTGCAAGTGAGCTTTGAGCGAAGTGATGAATTAGCATTTTCTCTTTGTAGGATCTTCGTATAAGCTTCTGTTGATAGCTCTAGCTCACTTGTTTTTTGTGCTTCACACTTCTTCTGTATTTATAGACCATTTAATGTTAAATATCTCTCGTTGGATAAGGAGGTTCAATCCTCACCGTTGAATGATCCATTTGGTTTGACTATTGAGGAGTATGGATTTCTTTTGTCTTCATACAGCGTGTCTGCAACCCTTTTTGTATTTATACTACCTCTTTACTGTATTGAAGTATTTCAAGGAGTATGAGTTAGATATACAAAATCCTTCGCCGTATTTTCCTTTTAATTTTCAGACAATTATTTCAGTCGTCCATAAATACTTCTACTGTTTAAGGGTCCCATGCGAAATGATTTTTGGTTATTCTTGCTTTTCAATAATTCTGATGCCCATGGAAAATATTTAAAGGCCATATACTATGTTCACAATGTGTAGCAGTTATTTCCTTGACCTTTGTTTTACTTTTACCTTTGTTAGAATTACTGTGTGCCCCATCAAAAGTAAACTTGTGATTTTGACTCTGCTTCAAGAGAGGAAGGTGTAAAGAAAATTGTGTTGTTTAACTTTGGTTTTACTAGCAAAGTTTGGTTCTGGGTGTTGGTAGTTTGCTATTTCTCGTAGTGATAGTAAGCTTGTTGACAGTGACGGAATCAGGACTCGTGACTCGCAGGGGCACAATAACAAAGAAATAATATACTAGTCTAGAAAAAAATCATATGCATCACGAGTATAGCAATAAACAAAACTATAAAATTTAAATAAAACCACTTTTTTTGGAATGATCTGTTGCACCCATTAAAATCACTTTGTGGAAATTTAAAGTCACGCGGTTGGCAAGGACCTTTTCTCAAATAACGTCTCCTCAACTCATCTCTAATATTAACATCATAAGTCTCAACCGGCATAACTTTTCTGTCCAGCACTTTTCTGTCCGAACTCCGTCCGAACACCGGCGTTTGGGGCGGTTCCCGGCGGAATATTTTGACGAAAATTTTTGAGCATGTTCCTCATCAAGTCTAGTTTATCCATAACAAACTTCAGCTCAAAATTCGATCAGGAAGGCAGTCAAATAATTCGTTGAAGTTAACTGCGCCAAATTATACATAGAAAAACACAGTTAACTTCAACGAATTATTTGACTGCCTCCACGGTCGAATTTTGACCTTAAATTTGGTATGGATAAATTAGACTTGATGAGTAACATGCTCAAAAAATTTCATCAAAAAAATCCACCTGGAAGCGCCCCAAACGGCGGTGTTTGGACGGCGTTCGGACCGGGAGGTGCTGGACCTGAGAATTTTCCAATATATATATATATATAAATCACCGCAGGGGCACGGGCACCCCCTAGCCCTAGGGTGGGTCCGCCCCTGCTTGTTGAGTTCACTAGAAGGCTGCTAGTGAACAAAGTTTCCGGCTAACTCTCTTTGTACCTTTTCTTTTTCTTTGATACCGTTTTTCTCTTTTTAGTACTCTTGTTTTTATTTTATTTTTTCGTATGAGTATTTTTCTTCATCTTTTTATTTAAAGTAACAGAAATCACAAAATACATCAAACCAAGTTTCTGATCTAATGCAGGTGCATCATCAAAATCTAGAGGGACCTAACATGTTGTACACAAATTTGTACACAAACTGTACACTGACTGTCTACACATGCATTTGGACCTAAAACTTTGACTTTTTAAATGAATTGTTTGTGTACACAGACAACTATGAAGGTTGTATACAGTTTATGTACTAACTTCGTGTACAAATGTAATTTTCCATTCAGAAATAATCATCCGAGTAATCAATTGAAATAGGGGAAATTACCTTAAATAGGAGTGAATGAGGTTTGGAATTCCAAAATAAGTCTGCTATGTTTTTCTTTCCGAAATAAGAGTTGTTACTGCCATGTATGAAAAATATTGTCATGATTGAAAAATACTGTCATTAATTATAATAAATATTGTAATGTTAAATGCACTGTAGTGCAACTTATGACAGTCGTGCCTACAAGATCATAATAAATATTGTCATGTTAGTCCTATTTCGAAAAAATAAAAACATAGTAGTTGGAATTACAAACTCCATTTATTCTTATTTTGGGAAATCTCCCAGCTGATTCTCAATCGAGCATACCAGGATTGCTATTGACCCAGCCCATACGTTTCCATACTTCCCATTTCCCAACCATCAAAGCGTGGGTGTAACTATGATCACACTAACATAACAAAGAATACATTGTTCAAATTAAAAGTAAACAATGATAAGTAAATACGACAGTACATGGAAAAGGCCCAAAGCCCGATTTTCAAACTTGCATTAATTAAAAAAAAAACTCATACTCCGTATATTTAATTATATATCATCCAAAGTTTTTACAAGATTTTTTTAGCACGTATTACGTACGAGTAATATATTGTGTCCCAATTTGTACTCACAATTTATGCTAAGGGGTTTTTACTTAATACGGAGTATTACTTATGCAATTTTTCAAAAGAGTGGTCATTTTTAGAAAATGATAAAAATGTGACTAAGAAAGTCACATATATGGAAAAACCTGATGTCACTGATTTTTATGTCACTATCAGATTGTTATGTCACTATTATATGTCACAATCATTGATCGATTCATATTAGCCGACCCCAAATTCTTTTGGGATTAAGGCTTGAATGTTGTTGTATTATATGTCACTATCAGATTTTTATGTCACTTTTCAATGTCACTATAATTGCCGGAAATTTTCCGACAACCTTTTTCGGCGAAACGGTCACTAATCAGATGTCACTACTGCTGGCGCCCGTGTCACTACCACCGCCGCCCATGTCACTCCGCTCGTGTCACTACCGCCATTGCCGACCACAACACTTCCATGGTGACAGACATAGTGACATTTCTGTAGTGATATCTTTGCCCAACCTCTTGTCACAATGTCACTACAAAAATGTCACTACAGAATCGTGTCACCAACCTCCACAAAAACATGCTAAACATGCCATTTTTTAACTGATTTCATATAATCGTGTTACTCTACATTCTTTATCATATGTAGTACGTACTGGCATTTTAAAGCAACACTTCAT